TTTTTTACTACAGAATCATGTCGTCAGGAGCAGGATCCAGTGGAACTGGACGAGGACGTGGTTCCTCCTTGGCAGACAATAAACCAGAAAGTAAAGAAGCTAAGCCAAATCCAAAGATGTCAAAAGCTTTAGGAACTTCCGCTAAAAGGTGCAACATATTTTTGTCTCCCACAACGCAATAGCTATATAGCTAATGTGATGGTAATTTGTAGCTACTAAACATATTTAATATTTTTATCAGGATACAAAAAGAATTGGCAGAAATCACATTAGATCCACCTCCCAATTGCAGGTATACTATTATTGTCAACTATATGCAGTGAAATAAAACTTCAGAATTACATTTAAAATGTGGTTTATACTTTATAAGAATAATATATGTGCATAGTAAATTAATTAAAATAAATTTTATTTTATTTTATTTTACAGTGCAGGACCAAAAGGTGATAACTTATACGAGTGGGTTTCTACCATATTAGGTCCCCCAGGTTCAGTTTATGAGGGTGGTGTATTTTTTCTTGATATACATTTCTCACCAGAATACCCCTTTAAACCTCCTAAGGTAGGTTGCTAGTTTTATTAATTCCCAGAAGTCCGAGCGTATTAAATACTTTAATTATCTCTAAGATGTCAGACATATATGAACTTAGCGTCTTTTAAATAATTTCTTATAGTTTTTTATATCATGTGAAGATTTCACAAATGCAAGGTGATTAAAGTCACTTTGTACATATCTGTTCTAAAATATAGATGGTTGCTTATAAAAATATTGGATAGTAAGTGTAATTATAGTTTATATAAAGATGATGAAACGAAGACAGAGAGAGGAGAATAGAGTTTGCTTGATGAGTACTGATATTGTACAGTTTATTATGTAAAGTAAACGCGCTTTGCATCCTTTCCGTTACGAAATTTTCGAGGAATGTAAATATCGCGTGAAGTGCATGTGCGAAATATGCGATTCGCGTAAGTTCCTATATTAAAATTAAATATTCTTGAACTTTAATTTAGTCGACAAACCTTGGCTCTTTATATTTTGTAAGCTAATATGATGTGTGCAGTTTCAACACTATATGAATTAAAGTGGAACAGATAAGTCAATCCTGCCTCGGGTTTGTAAATATAGATCATTATATATAAAATATTACATGTACATGCCCACACGTGTATTTGTGAGAAATTACCGAAATACTAACAAAATATAATAGATCTCGTTATTTCTAAATGTCGTATATATATTAAATAAAAAATAAATGTAGTCATATACGCGCTAAAAACGAGAGCACGCTATATCTGTGAATCCAATCTGAAATTTATAAGCTGTATTAAATTTTCTTGTAAAAAGAAGGCAAATATAGAAAGGAAAAAGCCATTTATTTACGCGATTTCGATAATCTAAAATTTGCAATATGCCGAAAAAGATCAGTTGATCTATAAATGCTTTTTTATTCGCGTGTATAAAAAATATTAATACCAACAAAAAAAAGAACAAGTGTAAGAAAATCAGTCTTATATATATTGATAAATAATGGTCTTTTAAATAATGATATAACGAATGAAATACAATTTATTATACTCTAATGCTGGATAATTATTATTATTCTCACCTGTCCTTTTTTCTTAAATGTAAGTCTCAATTATATAAATTCTACAAGTTTTGTGTTTAGACAAACTTGTAGAAAGGTTCATAGGAAATGGGAAAAGGATCTTAATTAAAAGTGCTGTAAATGGTGTCATTAAATTTATTAGTATACATAAAAGCTAGATAAATATGTGCTAAGGACATGTTGGCTCCTAAAATACCGTAAATTTTATTGTAATAACAAAATTACGTTTGTATCACTTTAACGATATTGTGACTAATTTACGTTTATAGTAAAAATAACATAAGCAGCCAAAATATAAAATTTAGTACAAAATTATTTGTGTGTTGTGTGTGTGTGTGTGTGTGTGTGTGTGTGTGTGTATATATATATATATATACACACATGTATATGTATAAATTGAACTTTTTACTGATGATTGCACCGATCACTCAAGTTTACTAATTCTAATTAGCAATTTTTTATCCCCCCTCTTCTAAAAATCACAACTTTAGTTATCATGTAGATAGAGAAAGAGAAAATTTACTTACGCGCGACTGGCGCTAACCAATGTTGGTGCAATTTGTGTGTTTTTAGACTTTTCATATTATTTAATTGTTCTAGAGAATACTCTTACATATCAATTCTGTTACATATTTGAAACACCCAGAAGTCCGAGCGTATTAAATACTTTAATTATCTCTAAGATGTCAGACATATATGAACTTAGCGTCTTTTAAATAATTTCTTATAGTTTTTTATATCATGTGAAGATTTCACAAATGCAAGGTGATTAAAGTCACTTTGTACATATCTGTTCTAAAATATAGATGGTTGCTTATAAAAATATTGGATAGTAAGTGTAATTATAGTTTATATAAAGATGATGAAACGAAGACAGAGAGAGGAGAATAGAGTTTGCTTGATGAGTACTGATATTGTACAGTTTATTATGTAAAGTAAACGCGCTTTGCATCCTTTCCGTTACGAAATTTTCGAGGAATGTAAATATCGCGTGAAGTGCATGTGCGAAATATGCGATTCGCGTAAGTTCCTATATTAAAATTAAATATTCTTGAACTTTAATTTAGTCGACAAACCTTGGCTCTTTATATTTTGTAAGCTAATATGATGTGTGCAGTTTCAACACTATATGAATTAAAGTGGAACAGATAAGTCAATCCTGCCTCTATATGTATATATAATATGTATATATTTATATGCAAAATACCAATGTTAGTTAATACTGATTACAATAATCATCAGTCTTTCGCGTTGCCTGGTAATACATACAGAAAGTCTAAAATTTTTAATAAAATCTTTGACACAAACAGATGATTTTATACAATCAAAAGGAGCAAACTTTGGATAAGTGCTAGTTTCGATGAGTCTGTATTGCGCATGGTTTGTAGATAATATATCATTGAAATGTTTTCTCTCTCTAATCTCTATTAACTTATAACATAAACGTTACTATGTTAGGCACACTTTAATATCTCATAGCTATTATTTCTATATGTTTCTGCAACTATATGGTTATCCTACGGACGTTCATAACTATTTCTGAGATCTTGTGCATTTGCTATCATGTATATGTGCGAGTGTGTATATGTGTGCCAATGGTAAATTTAAATTATCTCACAACATTATTGTAAAATAGAGTAAATATATATCAATATATTCTGTTCCTATACATATAAATTTTTTGTGATAATTATGTTCTTTATTTTGTTAGACATATATATGTTCTAATAATATTCGATATATGTCCAAAGGAATGTTAGAATTTTTCATGCATTGTATACACAAGACTACAGAAACTTACATAATTCAATTTGAATCGTGGTACTTGAATTCGTGAAATCGACAAGACGCAGTGAAATTTTTAATTATTTTCTTTCGTTTGTTATATGTATATAAATCTAAAAAGAACATCATATATTTTTCCTTATGTATTTAAACATACATAATATTATTTAATGGCACCCAATTAGTTTCAATTTTAACAAATTACATTTTAAGAAACGTTTTTCCTTCAAATGGAAGCAAGTGAATAAATATTAATGTATTATATATATAATAGCTTTATTTTCATATTTAATTCCTTTCCCAATATTATCAAAAACTCTTTTAATATTGGAAAAAAGAATTCTATGATTATATAATATAGAGTTTAAGAAAAGTCTTTTCGTAATTCTGATGTATCACATAATAATTCCTCGATCCGTTATTTCTTTGTTGAAACAACTTGTTACTGAATAAAAATAATCTTGATTTTTTTTTGCTTTGGTCCCAAATATGAATGAACTTAGCATTAAATATGCACAAAAATATTTTTCTGGCAATAGACTGTCAAGAGCATGTAATATAATTAAGTAGAAGATGATCAATATCAGAGTTCATCGATATTACAAGCTAAATTATTGACAGAATAAAGCTAGAGCTACAGCTTCCATTCAATATTTCATTTAAATTGAGCTAAGTGTCAAGATACGCTAATTTTGTTAAATCATTGGTATATAATGTGCAAAATTTTTGTGTATGTCCAATATTACAAAATGATACTATATACATGCATATATGTATATATATATATATATATATATATATATATATATATGCACCGTCGATTACGAATAAGAGTACACTACTTTTTCTGTTTTTGTTCGTAGAACACGGAAAATTATTATATAAATTTATATCAATATTACCACAACATCGTATATATTATAAGTATGAGAGACTGTATCTTTTTTTTCGTCGATGAGGCGTGAAAAACTAATGCAAAGACTTGCGCGCATATACTCAATATGATATACCCTATTTTATGGGAGTATTAAATTATCAGAACACAAGTTTTTATTTGCAATTAAATGCTACATAAATTGTCTATTCTGCACTCTGAGGAAGATGATGCAGAAATAGAGTTTATCTTTTTAGCTTTTTTTTTTTTTTAATAAGTCTGACAAAAAATTAAGAGGAATGATGGTTACATTGAATGCTCTATCTCCTATAATGATACAAATCGTATATAATGCGCAAAAGATTACAAACTTCATGTATAAACATATCACATGAAAAAATAGATCTGTCAGATATTACATCATGGCACATTATTTAACAGGCACCTCGTTATACATGTGCCAAAAATTGATCAACATTCTATTGATATAATCTCTGTAAACAGGATCGTATACATTTTCGACTAGTTTTCTTTTTTCTCTTTTTATTGCTTCTTATACAGCGTGTGATGTATATTTTTTGGCAAATATTGGCAGTAATTTGATATTAAATAGGGGAATGTTAATATTCAAGGCATAGCACTTTTCCCTTTCTTTTTTAGAAGCAAGCAAAAGTCGAGATACCAATTTGCATTCTCTTTACAAAAGTATGTATATGTAATTTCACGTGCATTACATATCGAAGCATCGTTAATTTATCACTGTACACTAAATACTTGTGACATCATTCCTCTTTGGATATATATATATTTATTTGTAAGCACAATAAGAATGATTACGATCGTAATGAATCTACAAATATCAACCAATGTATGATGAACAATATTATGAAAATGCCTCCTAATTGATGGCAGATCAGTGTGCTGTGGTTTCGCTGCAAGTAAAAATATTACATCACTAGGCATAAAACATAAAATATTTAAAAAACATCTAGTGTTACGGCATATTAAGCGATATAATATATATATATATATAATATAAAAAACGAAAACAAAAATAACTTGACGGTTTTCACACACATGTGATATTATTATTAAAATATATAAACTTTAATAACAAGCACTTTATTGCCAACATTGGCTTGAGAAACGATATTTCAGATTATCTACGATAATCAAGTTGAAGCAATTCTATTGCTGTTTGATTGAATATATAAGTGATGTTGCATTGAAATAATTTCATTATGAATTATACGCTTTGCTATAATTCGTATAACATGAATAACTATTACTTTTTTATCTATTTCTATACACTTATACATCTCATAAGACATTTTTCATGATTATAACACTATGTAAACTTTACATTGTGATAAACAACGAAACATCTCAAGTTAGATATATAGTATTTCTTGTTTGTATTGATTCGTAGCATGTGTAGTTAATGTGTAATTGCAAATTGAGGCTAATACTTTCCTTTATTTCCTTTAATTTGTTAAATACGGAAGTTTTTTCATCAATCTAAAGAACACTGTTTAGCCACAAACTAAAAGTAAATTAGAAAAAAAAAAAAAGAACTACTATATTGCGCAGTGACACATGTTACTTTCAATCACAGTTTCTTTGCACATTTCATATTTTCACAAATATAGAACTTTTTTTTTTAACTGGTTGAATATAATTTTCTTAAAATGGATTATATAACATGCAATATAAAAGAAAATGCCCTTCATCATACACCATTAGGTTAATGCTGAAAAAGTATCCATGTACCTTAGTACTTTATTTTACATCTTGAAATATCTAATTAGTTGGGTTTCTTCCAATATTTGAATTTTATCAAAAAAGATAAATGTTTTTTTTTCTATTGCTTAATAATTTTCTCAATATCGAAAATAGAACTCATTAAAAATAAATATATATTATAACAATAGTAAATATAGCAACGAGTTTATATAAATTTGATATATACTCTCTGCATCACACTATATTAAATGCAATATTTGGAAATATATTCAAATATACTTCAATAAGAGCATATATAATATCGATCCAAAAGCAAAATAAAATCTAAGAGATACGGATACTTTTAAAATTTGAAAATGGTACTGCTTAGTATTATAGAAGAGCCTCGACAACAGTATCAATATACCACTGCATCATGCGCGGAATATTATAAAGCAAAAAATACATAGGAACGACAAAGATACATTTTTACTAATAAGCTGAACAAATACTCACGTGAAGCAGACATTAAATAAAAAGAAGCTTTAATCATATTTTTTGTAGGTTAATGCTGAAAAAGTATCCATGTACCTTAGTACTTTATTTTACATCTTGAAATATCTAATTAGTTGGTTTTTCTTTTCAATATTTGAATTTTATCAAAAAAGATAAATGTTTTTTTTTCTATTGCTTAATAATTTTCTCAATATCGAAAATAGAACTCATTAAAAATAAATATATATTATAACAATAGTAAATATAGCAACGAGTTTATATAAATTTGATATATACTCTCTGCATCACACTATATTAAATGCAATATTTGGAAATATATTCAAATATACTTCAATAAGAGCATATATAATATCGATCCAAAAGCAAAATAAAATCTAAGAGATACGGATACTTTTAAATTTTGAAAATGGTACGTACTGCTTAGTATTATAGAAGAGCCTCGACAACAGTATCAATATACCACTGCATCATGCGCGGAATATTATAAAGCAAAAAATACATAGGAACGACAAAGATACATTTTTACTAATAAGCTGAACAAATACTCACGTGAAGCAGACATTAAATAAAAAGAAGCTTTAATCATATTTTTTGTAGTGTGACTTATATAATTTCATTATCGATATTACGGTTATCGTGGCTCAACTATAACAGTATCACAATGACACTGAACGAATTAGATATACATTTATAAAAAAAAATGTAGTATATCTTCGCGAGAATAACAGATAATCTGTTATCATTAATATACAAAGTTGTTCGAGAGCTTATTGTAAAAACATACAAAACATATGTATGTGATGGTTTTACGCCTGATAGATGAGGCAAGGCCCACATACCAAAATAGCAGTGATTGGAAATCTTTAAGTCGTTTGCCTATCACGCACTTTTTAATAAAAAGTAATTACAAACTGTTTCTTTGCAATGTGTTAAAAATAGAAGCGATAAAGGAAAGAAAATATTTTATGTATAATTGTGCATGGTTAAATGGTAACGAAACAAGGGAAAAAAATAGTGACAGCTTGTGTAATAGACCAGGTTTTATACAAGTGCATTTTAGGCTTGCAATGAAAATTTGTGTCTATCAGCTTACACAGTCTCATACTCGCGGCGAATCGAGCGAGCCAAACAGCACGCAAAGATTACTCCAATCAACTAAAAAAAAGGAGAAATGATTGTTTTATTTTCTAAGCAAGTAAACTTTGCTCATTATTATTAGGTATACATGTGAAAATATTATTACATATCCAGCATTATTAATAAAAATAATGTCATAATAAATATCAAAATCTGTTTCTTTTTGTGTATATAATATCTGGTTATGATTAAATTACAATTATTCTTCTAATATAATTTACGATGAAATAGTTTGATTTAAAACTTACTTGTATGAGGGCTATGCCTATGCCCACTCCTCCCAGAATCATAGCATTATTTTCTATAGCAGATTGCAATTTCATCATGCAGCCGTCGCTAAAGGCTTGAATCGAATTTGAATCGCATTTGCTGTTCTGAGAAGGGATTTCCTTGCAGCAGGACTGAGGAACGTTATTGCCTACGAAACCAATATGGGACCAATCTGCGGGAGCATTCATGCCACAGCAATGTAACTGAAATCATTATTTTTACAATTAATTATGAGTTTTAAATAATACAAACGTATTAATAAAAAAAAAGCAGTATAATATTTCTAGCAAGTAAAAATTTTCTTTTTCTATGTATTAATACTTATCATAATGCCATTTCTTATAGCAATGGAAAAAGAGTTAAATGCAAGGATGTATAATATTTATGTATAGCAAATCATTTAATGAACTCACATCGTGCTGCATGATGTCCCACGATCGACGAATATCATCATTACTACTATACTGTCGCATAGTACTATTCAAACGATTTTCTAACATATTACCAACTTCTCCTCTCATCATGTAACCTGTGATTCCAGCGCCCAATTCCAGGGCAAATATCAACAGCAGCAAAACTGAGAACTAAAATTAAAATTATTAAACAGATGTAATACATGGAATTTTGTATTTTAATAAGTGTGTGTGTGTGTGTGTGTGTGTGTGTGAACTTTTCTTAATTATTTATCTTTAAATTTATAATTATACGTCCCTATATAAAAATGTTTAAAAGAAATATGTCTGCAATTTAAATTGATACTTTTTCAATTCTAAGAATTATTAAAAATTTAAATATTTCAATAAAAACTATTTTCATAATTCAGATTTGTCAATTTTTTATAAATGAATTTTAAATCTTGTAATATAAAAGCATCAAATTAATTTATAAATAATTTAATAGATATTACTCAAATCTGTATGTTGCTGTTATGGGAAAAGAGAATTTTTAAAAGCATTTTTATAAACTCATACCGTAATTATCATGCAATGATTTTCCTTCACGGCGCCGCAACATCCAAAGAATGATACAAGGAAGACTATGACACCGACTATTATCATTAAGACTGGTGCTGCAAAGAACCAACTATCCATAAAGTTGTTGTATCCACTGTAGGCAACCAGAATCACCGTGCCCACCGAAATAAATACGATACCGGTGATCTGAAATAATACATAAAATATTCCATATATTTTTTATCTTATACATACTAAATAACGACATAGTAACTTGATAATATTGCATTACATTACATTTTCTCTAACATGTTACGGTAATTTTAGTTTACTTTCACCGTTAAAGATATGCACTACTAAAGTGAAACCTTTCATTAGAATCATTACTAAACATGGAATTTATGTGGGAAACTTCTTATAATATAACATTTAAGATATAAATACCATCCATAAACGTATCATTAACAAAAGCTATTGTGCAGTCATGAGATTTGAAATTACCTATCTCTAAAAAAAAAAAAAAAAAAATTAAGACAGATTTCTGTTCAAAGATATACTTCTTAAGTATAGTTGTGATCGATATTTTGAGTAATTAGGTCAGATATTTAATACTTTTCTGCTGCGATAAGCTTGACTTTAAATGGAAAGCGCCATCGCGTAAGAGTCGCATTGTTTAAATAGGAAGAGAGAAGAACTTTCATAATTACGCCGAATAAATAACTTTCAACGAGACAATTCTTGCTAGTGGATTACGAGAGCGATGACTTTATCGAGATCAAAGATAAAATTCATTTTTATACAAAAATTTACAAGGATAACAAACTCGAATTATGTATATATTAAAGATATATACACATATATGCAAGTTCTTATTATAAAAAGAGCCTCGATTATACAGATTGCATCAATGTGGTTTTAAGTTCGACAGTTATTCTTTTTATATATCTATACAACAATAATAAATAAAATTGTGTAACACATCTATTGTATATTATACAATAGAAGGAGTGATCTGCGCCCATCAAATTCGATTATTCCAAACTATTGGCGCAGAAATGCGGTGCGTGAATATTTCTTCTGAAATCTCGAGCGCGCGTACAACTTTTTCTCGCATCGCTGAGTTTTGTATAATCGTCGCCGGAAGGTCAGCTTTATCAAAGCCGCGACCGCCGGAATTGGTCGGCGTCCTGTCGTCGGATGGATCTGGCTAAATAAAGACATCCAGGCTCGAGCGCGATTGCTGACATATACTATATAGTCGGGGGGGAAGGGGGGGGGAGGAGGAAGAAAAGGCGCGACTGCGACATCGTTTGTAGGTTGTAGGCAGCCCCCGGTTGAGAGAGAGTATAGACCTCTCCCTTTGCGAGCCTATGATTTTTCCTCTACGTGTCTCACCTACGGCTTATCTACGTTCGCGCGTCTCGAGGCTACGCGAAACCGAATCCGACCGGTCGATTCGCTCGTCCTCGAGCGAAGCCTAGATAGCCCGTCGAGAATCGCGCGTACGTCGCCAACAGGTGACTTTATTAGACGAACTTTAAGTATGGATTTATATTGAAAAGTTCAGCGCAACGAGGACACGCGACGACGACGACAACGACGACGATCTATATGGAACGTTCCACAAAACAAAGAGTAGAGCAGAACGTCGTTTCTTGCGTGAAATTTAGAGTTTACCCCCGTTCTTTTTAATGACGTTTTGAACGTCATTAAAAATATAGCAGACTCTTCGTCAAAAGTTGCGGATATAGGTAACGGAGCATTACGTCGTTTAGTTTGATACAAATTTACTTAGGGTTTTAATCAAAGGCTTAATTCTTAAAATGTCAAATGTTGAAATTTGATTAGTTGAAAGAAACAATGATTTTTTTTTTTTTTTTTTTTTTTTTTTTTTTTTTTAAGAGAGGAGACAAGACTTTTACGAGAAAGAATTATATGTTGAATCTGGTACGCTCTGTATAAATACGGTGGTATTTCACGCTGGACGGTCATTAAACGTGCAATAAGGGACGCGCGACAGATACGCCCGTCCCGTAGTCCTTCGAGGTTGCTTTTGTGTCCTAGATCCTTCTGACCATCTATATGGCGACAGTGTTTTATGTGCGTGGATCTTTCGTGTGACAAACGTGACTTTTAATAGTTTTATTATCGCTGACTTTTTAATAAATTCTTCCCCTGTCAATGTGATTAACATTCTCTTGTTATATCCATCTATTACGGATGAAAGCGATAAAGCCAAAGTCTTGTGTAATCCTAGCTCTTTGTAAAATCTGTAACCGATAATTCTACCATCTAGTTAAATATTCGTTTATATAATTTCATTAGTATACATTATATTATTATATTTCTTGGAATATATTTTAGAAATATTTAGATATTTTAAAATATATATTTTTTTTCACTAGATATAAAAAAAAAAAATATTTATTTAAATTGCATTGTACCCGGAATTTTGGAGACGCGAACGTTTGACATGAGCTTTTAATGTAATAGGATTTTGTAAATATTTCAAGTTTTAATGATGGCGGTTGGACGGGCGAACTCTAGATTACGTTAAACGTTGAAGATATCGATCGCCTTCATCCATAACACTTACACCGAGGTTCTGGAACATAAGCACACTACAAAGTTTCCCTCGAGCTGATACCCTCGTACCTATATCATTTATTCAGAAACTCTGTACAGTTTCGGTCACGCCATATACAATATCGATTAGATTATTACTATCATTGCGAATTATCGGCATTAGATCAAATATAAATCAATATGAAAAAAATCTGTGGAAAAATCATAAGATTTTTTTAAATTCCAAATACGCGAGAATAATAGAAAAGATCTCAAGGATTTCCTCCTGTATTATATACATGTATTGTAAATGTCTTTACGTGCTATGTAACACGCCCAAGATCTCGCCTTACGTCGATATTATCGAGATTTTTTATTACGAAACGCGTAGCACTCGGCGATTATAGTCGCGATAATAAATGTAATAAACATGTTATTCTGATATAATCAATATTGCAAATATAATGCATTTATCATTTGCAAAATATACAATATGGGTAAATATTACTTGCACTAAAAATATTACCGAATAAATGGCGGAGAAATATTTACAAATATTGACAAATATTCCGAATAATTAAATGAAGCATCTGTAAAAAATTCGTATACCGGAAGCAGAAAAAATTACAACTGTACATATCATAATTTACATACAAGACAGAAATGATTCATCGCTCACGAGCGGAACGGATAGCGGTGTCAAAAGTTTGTCGTTGGGATAAGCATCGAGGGATCAACGATCCCGGGATGCCGCTCCAGCAGCTTGACCGATATACGTACACGAAACAAAGCCCGCCCAACGCGGCGACGACGCGGCGGGACGCCGAGAATAGCGGCTCGAATACAGCGGAGAGAACGCAACGTAATACTTTGTCGTCGTCGTCGTCATTCCCCTTGTACATACACCGTTACTCACCGCGAATATCAGGTTGAAGAGGAACAGCAGATATTTCACGCAAGTCATACCGCCGGACACCATTTTCGTCACTCTCACTGTATGCGAACTTTTCTTCGTGAATCACTGAATGCGACGTTCGCGCGACGTCTGCGAATATTATTCGCCGAGTATAACGCGGAAGCGAAACGGCTGCCTCTCTCTTTCTTAACTACGTGCTTTCTGCCTTGTCTCCTCGATACGTCTACAACGGCCCGTGCACTCGTGATGCTCGCGCGTCGACTGTTCGCCGTCAAATGCGCCGGGCCGGACTGCGTATTTTTGTTGTTGCGCGTATACGCTCGCGATGCGCGCGCATCCGCCCCGATGATGTCGGCCAGGGCCGTATCCCTCGTTCAGCGAAAATGGGATGATGACGTTTCCATCGGGTGCGACCGGAAAAAATATCAAGATAATCGTGCAATTTTTTGCAATTTTTTTAATATAAAAATTTTATTTAATCATATTATCAATTATTTATTTTATTTTATTATATTATCAATTATTCATTAATTATATCGCATGGTGCGCGTGATATATTCTTTTTTATATAATTATTGTGTTAAGATGAATTATGGCGTGTAATAAGAGACTCTTCTTTCACCGAGAGTACTTTCAACTTCCGGACTATATTATTTATATGAGAAGTAGATTCTCCGCTTATGCTTCTCAAGATTACTATTCACTTCTCGTAGCGCGTCATCGTCACGTTTCTTGATGATGGATGCGTCACCCGAATACGTTACGAGCCTGTGCGATGCATCTTTGCCTAACGTCACGCAACGCAACGCAACGCAACGCGCCGTTGTGTTGTATGTACTTGGATGGTGGTATCATGGCGGGCTTATTGTTAGCAATAATCTACGATTCAATCGAGCGTACCAACGGCATATCATGATTTTAGAATATCATCGCTAACGAGATTTGTACATACGATTATATACGAAAATCGAGCTTCCAATCATCATCGATTGAATAATTACAATCCAGATAACTGAATCGAAAACCAATAATGTTTATGGTTAATTCATGCACACTGCGAATTTTGAAATCTCTACAGGTATATCTGCATAAGAATATTTCTTTTTACCTTTTTAAATGATTGAGAATCTTATTTATTTGCTTTTGCTTTTTTTATTTAGAGAGAGAGAGAGAGAGAGAGAGAAAGAGAGTGTATTTAATAACTTTTATCATCTTTCGCGTTTTATGAAAAACGATCGAAAATAGGTAGACGAAATGATTGCGAATCGACTCGTATTTTCGACTGATATTTATCGAATTGACAATTAGCGACTCGCCGATTTTGCTTATTTTATTTATCGAGATTATAAATTATGCAGAATATCGATTTCAAATATGGTACTGTTATAAAGAGTGATTTAATAGAGAGAAAGAGAGAGAATGGATACATTAATATGGAAAGAGATAGTGCAATGAACGGAGAGAATCGTAACGCCTACTTCAAGAATTACGATACTGATATGCTTCAATACCATTTTCTTTGTCGACGTCTATTAATATACATGTCACAGAAGTGCGTTTTGCAGGTCTACGACTCCGGTGAGGAACATTGTGAAAACCGACGGCTGTTTTGACAAAACAGAGACTTCATCAACGCTCGACGAAATTACCCTGCAACATCCATGCAATTTCACGCTCGCACATATTTTCTCGCAGTATAATTAATAATAGTCTAGGACCTAGGATGACTACACTCTCTTGTGCGAGCGGAAATACAAGCGGGAAAAAGTCTGTTGCATACATTTGCAATTTTTAACTCATATTTACCTACTGTTGTGCCAAATAGTAATAATTATGGTAAATATTATATAGGTTAGTATTTTTTTTTTCAGATTAAGATGGTATCTACGAAAAAAATAGACTTTAATAAATTTTAAAGTATTGCCTTTTAATTTATATTTATATTATTTAATTAAATCACATATTATTAAATACATATCCTAAACAAAAAATTCAATCATAATCATTTTAAAATCTCAGTTGAGTAAAGTTTAAAAAGAATATAGAACTATGATATTTTCATCTTTTATGACTTATTGTTAGTATCAGCTTTTTTAACAAATCATTTCATTATTAAATGTTTGTGAAATATGTAGTATAAACGTGCGCGCGTATTATATTTATTGTGTAAATATTAATTAAAATAGATTGAACGAGCATTGAATTAAATGGAAAGAGCAAGATGCAAATCTCAACATTATTTACAATGATATTTAATGTATGATTTTGGTTTTGAAGTAAAGAGATGAAGTATATTTAACTTCTTGATGTATTGTGAATATAAAATTAGGACAAGTAGAAATACACATATGCTAAACATCTCTCTCTCTCTCTGTAAAAATAATCGTAATATCTCAAAAAAACCACGATCATACTCTGATTCTTTCACATACACACACGCACATTTATACCATTCGAATATATTTAGCATACACACAAGATATTTAAGAAATAACGTATTTTATTGGTTAATTTTTAGTCTTCATGTAATTTACACTCTCGATATTATTCACATGATAATGCTCTACATCAGTTTTCCCCATCGAGAAGGGAATTAAGTCTTGACATTTACCCTAAATGTATTCATCGATTTTTTAAATATAATAGTGCCCGTATATATGTATAACATGATGTTTATGTTAAACAGTTGAGAGATAAAAACTTTGTTATCCACATTAGAAACATTTATACACGTGTAAAAATATGTATAATATTTAACTGCGGCATCGTAAACTTTGTAATAACTTTACCATACAGTAATAGCTCATTATGCTTACATTACATAGAAATATAACGTCGAGCTATATAAACGTCACAATGACGTTATTTATTGTTACTCTTTTATCTTCGTAAATAAATAGTTTTATATAACATTAGAATAGACGCGAGAGAATTAATAAAATTAACAATTATTCGTTCTCTTTTATAATTTGCTTTTAGAATAATTGTACTTAAATATGTTACAGAATGAAACGTGACGCGATGAACGAAATACGTGCCCTCAATATAGCAAGACGCAATAATGGCTGTAACGCTATTAGCATAAATTAGATGATGTGAAATCGACCTCTCTTGCGAATTTCGCTTGCGTTCGCCAAGAATGGCTCCAGTTTACACGCTACGTTTTTGCGTAAACGCTGACCACGTGCACCGAACGTATAATATATGATGCTTAGGGAGAACTCTCCGCGATGTCGGCCACGTCAGACCGTACACAACCCTCGGTCAGTGTAGCTAAATATATATGAATATAAAATGTACGGCCCGGAGCATGCGTGCTCGAGTACGCCTCAGGGCCACATCGCCCTCGTCTAAGCGCAATATATCGTAGGTAAGTCAACCCTTCGGGAATAACAGAATTGGAAAATTAATTCATCCGAGCTGCGAATTTTTCTACTTTCCTGCCTGAAAATTGTAGAAATATTTTTATGCATAATCAGTATATCCAAAGAAAAAATAAATTTTGTATAATATTTTTCTGCTAGTTAATTGAATCAGCGCGAAACATCGTGAGATGTATAAAATAAAGTCACATCCACGTGAAAGAGGAGCAAACTTAATATGTAACATGAACTTCTGTGAAACACAAGTACACACATTAAATATTTAATGCCTTTCAGAAGCTTTTAAAAGACAAAAAATGCCTTATTAGCGAATAATGTATGTATATATGCACATATATACTTAAGAAAAAAATAATTAAATATTTTATTATATTATGCTAATTAAATTCTTCTAAAAAAATATGATTTTGAACATTGCGTTATTATAGACTTATTCATTGTTTAATTCTGTTTTGCTCAATAATTGTTTTTAAAAAATTAATTTTTTTCTTTCAATTTTGATCATCCAAACATACATATCTTTATTTACGTACAGTTTGTTGAATCAACATGTTGCTATTGTACACAGTCAGTAATATTTCCGTCGCGCCATGTTTCGATAACAATACAGATTGTTTGGACGTCATTGGTAGCCAAGTTTAAATTCGTGCAACAAAAGAGAAATATATATAAGATATAATTCTCTAATTTTTTTTAAATTTAATTCCCCGAAACATGATAAATGATAAAAATAATAAAAAATGAAATTTTTAAAAATATTTTATATCTCATGTTTTACACACACACATACACAAAATAAGCTTTAAATATAAATATCTCGTTTTACAATTAACAAAAAGGGAAAGTAGAAATAAATCGCCCATTTTTTTTTGCGCCCATTTAAGCATGTGAAATGTTTCGCTCGAATAGATGGGTATCATATATCTTGAATTTTCAGAATGAAAAGAATACAGGTCGAGGTATAATTCCTACGCACGGATCTATCTTGTCGATTTTGCCCCGCTTTATCATGGAAGAGCAATCCGCCAGATGATACAAATGGATATTTGTGTCACAGATTGATCATGGCATCATTAAGCGATTATGCGAGGGTAACTGCGTTACGGAGAGTACGGACGTGCGGTGAGATATGTGTCAAGTGTTACCCTTGAGCACTTGGTTATTGAATATTATATTTGCGACGTTAGGATCTGTGTGTGCTCCATATTCTATACCTCAATAGTTTCAATTATATACTATAACTAACGACGTAACCGAACCGATGAACAGAGAGACCGCAGATATTGTGTAACCCATTATCGAGTTTCTGTAGATTTCCGTGAAAAATCTGAATCTAGACACGGGTTTTTATTACACGTGCAAGCAAACAAATACAGATGCGTAGATACGAAACTGGCTGCTGGCGCTATTTTTAATGTAATTATCTTTTTAATAAATATACCTGCAAAAAACGGATCAGAGAATATTTTTAAAATGAATGAATTTCATTATTCAGAGAGATTTCGACCTTTAAGAAAAAAATTGTTTAAGTTTTCGATCAGAGATGTTGCCGCATGTATAAAAGAAAGTTATTGAACGTTCTGTATAATGTAAAATCGAAATATCATCAGAACCGAGCGGCCTTTCAAATTTCGTAATCTTGTTAACGTATACAGCCGCGGATTGTAGACAGGTAGACAGGTGTGCGCGAGCTGCACCAACACTTCACCGCGATTAATGTATTGCGCCCATTTAAGCATGTGAAATGTTTCGCTCGAATAGATGGGTATCATATATCTTGAATTTTCAGAATGAAAAGAATACAGGTCGAGGTATAATTCCTACGCACGGATCTATCTTGTCGATTTTGCCCCGCTTTATCATGGAAGAGCAATCCGCCAGATGATACAAATGGATATTTGTGTCACAGATTGATCATGGCATCATTAAGCGATTATGCGAGGGTAATAACTGCGTTACGGAGAGTACGGACGTGCGGTGAGATATGTGTCAAGTGTTACCCTTGAGCACTTGGTTATTGAATATTATATTTGCGACGTTAGGATCTGTGTGTGCTCCATATTCTATACCTCAATAGTTTCAATTATATACTATAACTAACGACGTAACCGAACCGATGAACAGAGAGACCGCAGATATTGTGTAACCCATTATCGAGTTTCTGTAGATTTCCGTGAAAAATCTGAATCTAGACACGGGTTTTTATTACACGTGCAAGCAAACAAATACAGATGCGTAGATACGAAACTGGCTGCTGGCGCTATTTTTAATGTAATTATCTTTTTAATAAATATACCTGCAAAAAACGGATCAGAGAATATTTTTAAAATGAATGAATTTCATTATTCAGAGAGATTTCGACCTTTAAGAAAAAAATTGTTTAAGTTTTCGATCAGAGATGTTGCCGCATGTATAAAAGAAAGTTATTGAACGTTCTGTATAATGTAAAATCGAAATATCATCAGAACCGAGCGGCCTTTCAAATTTCGTAATCTTGTTAACGTATACAGCCGCGGATTGTAGACAGGTAGACAGGTGTGCGCGAGCTGCACCAACACTTCACCGCGATTAATGTATTTTGAAACGAATATAAAACGAGATTTGGACCGGTCTCTCTTTCTGCATATCGCTGGCGACGTACATACACACATACACACACGCAGCTATATTACACACGTGTGTGTACGCGTATCGCACATGCACATCGGCGCCACCCGTCAGAACGCGCGTTCTTGCTCAAGGAGCCTTTTTCGACGCATTTTTCGTGGCCTCAACTCAATCGCAGTATCGTTCGCGACTCGTCTTTGATAGCAAGATCATCCCGCTCGCGCGAGAAAAGTGCGATCTACAAAGTGCGCGCAATCGTAACGATAACAACAAGCATGACAAAGATGCAGGGTCTAGCACCGAAGACCATCAAGTTCTTGATGTTTGCTTTCAACTTGCTCTTCGTGGTAAGCATTAAGTGTATGCAGCCGGACGATCAAGTGCGACGTCGCGTTCCTTCTGGAACGATGAGGTGGCACGCTTCGATCGCCGCTGCGAGCTATCGAACCATTTTTATCGACAATATTAATGTATGCATTTTAGCGCGATCATTGAAAATTGATAATAACCATATACGGCCGCTGTGAGTGTTGATCAAAATTTAATTGAAATTTTGTCGTGAATCTTAATTGAAGTTTTAACCGAGGTTTCATTCATTCTTTTCTGAACACAACGGGCAAAATAGCCTAGACAAACTCGCGTATGTGTTTAACGGGTTTCAATTGATGTTTAGACGGCTTCTGTTTAGATCGTAAATTTTGCATATTCAACACTCATATTGAAATGCACATCATAGCTAATGTGAATGGAACACAGGCTTCTATATATGTATAGAAGTTTGTTGAATGGAATCACCTGATTATATGAGCGTATACCATTTAAAAATATTTATTAAAATATCGATAATATATATAGAATTTGAGATTCGAGAATGTACCGCTAATAAACATAAAGTACATTATATAGATTATTATATTAATCTTTTATATTTTCTGAGTCACGCGATTGTTAAATTATCTGAAACAAATATTTGAGCTTGGTATGTGATAGATAAATATTATCTATCGAAGTTAGTCACAGCACATATTTGTTTAAAAAATTTGAGAGAAAAAACACTACGTTTGCAATACGGTTATTTTTAACGTTGCTGTGATACAAACAGTCACATAGATTATATTCAAAAAATGCAATGTCTGAGATCGGCTTTTAGAAAATGAGATTTAATTGAGATAAATTTAAAAAGGTCTACAGAAATGTTGTTTATGTCTCTGCAGAAATAAATATTTGAACATCTGTGTGTATATAAATCTAATTTTTAAAACTAAATTAATTAAATGTTTATCGGTTACGACATTGGATTAGCTCTTATTCATTGAAGAAAACCGCGAAAATGTGATGAACAGTTAATCGTTCGACAGATATCTTAAATATATTTATTTATGTAAGACATAATATAATTGAGAAAATATTTGTGCATTTTTTATGAACGGTTACACATTTTTATTACATAAATGATTATCTTATTTGAAAAAGAAAAAAAAAATTCGCTGCGGACAGGATTCGAACCTGTGCGGGTAGAACCCAATGGATTTCAAGTCCATCTCCTTAACCGCTCGGACACCGCAGCTGTTAAGAATGCGTTCAATTTGTACGGTGTTGAGTTAAGGCACACGAATTCAAAGTTCAAGTATATCTCATGAAAATATATCGAGAGATTTCTTCGCTAAAAAGTTAACACGTTTAAAGAAATAAGATCGATGTGCTCCTTTCAATTCTTCAATCAAAATATTAATTATTTATTGTTAAAATATTAATTATTTATGTTATTAATTACATAATTATATTGTTTAATTAATTGTTTAATTGATTGCACAATTGCCGAATTATTAGAAAATTATTATATAATTGAATTAATCGATTCAATTATGAATTGTACTTTTAATTCTTTCTTTTTTCTATAACAATATACTACATATATTGATTAATTGTATTAATTATATGCTTATTGTTAGATTACAGGAATAGTGCTGTTATCAATCGGCTTAATCATCCATGGAGTGTATCATGAGTATCAACATTTCCTTGACAATAGTTTCTTCTCCGTACCTTCTCTTCTCATAGCCATAGGCTCTATTATCTTTGTTATCGCCTTTTTCGGATGCTGCGGAGCCGTTCGCGAAAGCCACTGCATGATCATAACGGTAAGACAAACATTTATAAAAATATATAACGATATATATTTTTTCTTCTATTAAATATACATACTCTAATACATTTTTTAAGTAAATAAATAAATAAATTTATATGTATACATTAAACTATACATTTACTGAGTAGGTGGATTATTTTTTATCTAACAATAAGAAAACGCGACACGTAGACAAAAAAAGCCCGACCATCTACCTACAATGGTATCGTTTCCCCTTCGTTTCCATAATGTAATGGATCATATGTTTTGCGTATAAAGTATGTAATCGACATGTGTGTGTCCTCCCTATTTCACCTTCCCGGCTGTTATTCCGGGAAAATTATTCTCCCTCGCACGCAGACAAGAGCGGGTGTGCTTCCGATATTACTTTAAAAAATTAACGCAAACGCAGGAGACTAATTAAATATTTCATGAGACTTTCCCCGAAATTAAATTCTGTCTATGTCGATATTTATTTATAAAAATTAAAAATATTTTAATATATATCTATACGTATATATGATATCAGAGATAATTACTCCAAAATATTTTCAATACCTTAATAATTCTGATTTTATCTTTTACAATCCTCTATGTTACAGTTCTGCTCGCTTCTAGCCATGATCTTTATCCTGGAAATCATAGGCGGTACGATGGGATACGTGATGAGGTCGCAGGTCGCAACGGTCGCCAAAAACAAGATGATGGAGACGATGTCCAATTACAATGACAGCGGGGAGATTCAATACGTTTGGGACAATCTGCAACGAGATGTAATATGCAATTATATAGAATTATCGTTTGCGTTTAATATATTATACACGATCGAAGAGATATCTTTGAAATAATGGACTATATAGGATCCGTTTATCCTTTTTTTTTTTTTTTTTGACGGCAACTTTTGTTACAAGTTTTCTGCGCTTCGCTTTATGCCTTCCCTATCGTGGGAGCGACACGATCGTCGCGAGGATATCGTGAACGACAACGATTACAAGGGATAATTTCAGTGCACGGCTCTAATTCGTCGTGTGTATAATACATGTGTGTGTGGTAGAACCCTCCTCGTGCACGCGCCACGAGGGGGTAGCGCAAATCGATTTTTACGTCGCCGGCTTCCTTGACCACGCTCAACGATCTCGTGTGAGATGTCGTAGACGCGAGCGTTCCGCGGGAAATATCACACAGACTTGCGCTTTCATGTAAAATATCTCATCGCGATTGACTTTAAACAGCTACTTGCTTTTTGCGTGACATAACGAACGAATTTCAATTTAATCGCAGTTTGAGTGCTGCGGAACGAACAACGCTTCCGACTGGACGAATCTGAAGGAACCTTTGCTGGGCATCCCGATGTCGTGCTGCGATGAAGTAATAGGAGCTGTCGGCAAGACAAATTGTACTCTAGAATCACCGAAGCTGCATCACCGAGGTTGCATAGACGCATTTGCCCATTTTGCGGAGAAACACGCCAACAAAATAGCGGGTGTCGGATTGAGTCTTGGTGCAATTCAGGTATCTTGATCAAGTACAATACCATACAGATATTCTAAATCCCGTTTCGTACAGCGTTTAAAACAAATACGCTTGAGGTTTTTGCATATTCTATTTATAGAAAAAAAGGAATAATTTGTATCTTATGTTGCAGCTGATAGGAATCTTTCTGTCATCCTATCTAGCCAAGTCAATCCGGAATTGTTACCAGACCATGTAGAGTGCCATGCAAATGCCAAGCGCGCCAAACTTATTGTTAGTGTGTTAATATTTTTAGATTAGAATTAGATGACAGCCAAGTTTTCCGGCCAGGATTTCCATTAAGATACAGAACTGTAATATGCCTAATGGAAATATCGATCTGATGTGACATGAATACATTGTTTATCATTGTGTAAGAGTGATAAACTATTTTTGCTACGCATTATGTATGTGATCGCGATATGATTTCACATCGCGCATATTTTTAATAAAATACTTTACGTCGTTAAATATTTTTGTGATGATTGCGTTTATTAACTCTTGTATACTTGAAATATGCGATATAAACTCCTAGTTTATCATTATTCTTATATTTTTACGAACATGTGACATACAATCATTTGTTTTATAAAAAAAATGCGGTAATTCTTCGGTTAGGTTTTTATTCGAAACAGTTTTTGCGACTTGTAAATTACAGAAATAAAAGAAGTCGAACACTACACGTTTGTGTCCCTGTGCGAATCATGTACATACACACACAATATTAACTTAATCGCTCATATGAATCATACTCGTGTTATTGTTTTGGTCGTGTATAAACGTAGCAACGAGCGCAAGTGAACGTCTCTTTTGTATTAACTTCAATCTCCTCTTGTATCCAATTTTAATCGTATTACATTATTGCTTACTTTGTCACATATATTGAGAGTAACACTCATATATATATGAAACCTTTCTTTTTAAATAGTGAAGAATAAGACATAGTAAGAAATAATTTGCAACAAGATTGAATTTAATGCTCTATTACAATTGAATGAATTAAAATTCTTTTATGGACAATGAACGCATTTAAATATTGTGCGTATACTGATGATGCACGCTAAATATCATATATTGTACATAGTTTTAAAGATATAGCATAAATGTGTTTCAGCTATTGAAATACCCTACATAAATATATATATTTTCTGTGCTACAAAAATATTATATAAAATTCTCGTTATAATTTAATAGAAACACAATTTTTATTAGATATTAAATGTTTCATTGACAAGCTGAATTGAATTCGTGCGATAGTGTTTATCGCCTATCTCCAAGTCTCCAATATACGTTAGTGCATTCTACCAAAAATTCGCGCTTCGTCATATCTTTTTATATTATTCCAACTTTTCCATTCCTTCTTTCTCGCTCTTGGACTGCACGCTCTCAAGGAAATCGTCCGCGTCGGTACGTATCGCGCAAAGACGTCGCCGTGAGCGATCGTGCGAGATCGCGTGACGCACGAACAGTCGTCCGTCGTCGTCCGTTTGCGTTCGTACATTTTCGTGGCTCGTTATCGGCCAGCAGATAACGGCCGGGCTGACTGATCGGCCGATATCCGGGATCGTCATCAACAGTCGGTGTGTAAAGTGCGTTGAGTGTGCGCGGATCCATTTGCTGTGCACCTGCGTCCGGGCGGAGCCTACACGAGCACCAAAATGGCGGCCACGCACCTCGACGTCGGCCTTCGCTGTATCAAATATCTGCTGTGCGCGGTCAATTCCCTCTTCGTGGTCTGTACCATATGCGACATCAGTCTTCTTTTTTTTTTTTTTTTTTTTTTTTTTTGTATCTCCCTTTTCCGTTACTTCGCGTTACAATTGGAAAAATTCCGCGCAACAGTTCGCTTTTGATCAAAGGATTCGCGATTTCAAATACGTGGAATAAAATCGTTGATATTCATCTCGATAATAAAATTTCTCATTTTAACGATATACTCTATATATTGATTACAAATGTCAGATTTTATGCATATAACTCGCGGTAATGAGATTTCTTGGAAACGAAATAATTTGCCGCCAATTTTTTATCGACATCGTAGTAAGCTTATCGGGACAGATAATCTTGGAAACTGAGACAATAAGCCTTTTTTGATATGTATGTGAAGAGTTTTCGCGATGAATCGATGTACATACATGCATTGTCCTTGGAAAATGTCATCATTGCGACGCAATTTCAAGGAAGTGCAATTCTGCAATTGCGCGTTATACGAGTGCTATTACGTAGATTATACCTATATATCACACGTTCATAATTATTGATTGCTGTTATAGCGATAATGTAATGATTATTATAGATATGGATAATGTTTAGCTAAAAACAAAGATTCGATTTATTATAAAAGCATTTGTATATAATTGCTAACTCCCTATTTTTGACAGAAGAGAAACGATATCGAGTTTGCCAAAGTAAAACGAAATTTCTCTGTAAGGAAAAGTTCGTTCTTTTATTGTAAAGCGCATAAATATATTATTTATGCTTAAGACAGGTAGATAGATAAATAGATAGGTAGATAGATAGATAGAGAGAGAGAGAGGGGGGGGGAGGAGGAAGAGAGAGAGAGAGAGAGAATATAATACCGACAGTATCCGATTAAAACAATTCGCCATTTCGGTTAAAAAATTGACTTAAGATAACGCGTATCTCTCTGATTTTAACGACGGAAAATATGAACCATGATAAAAGAGAAAGTATAATAACGCCTTTGAGAGAGTACAAAAAGTATAAACAGCACAAAGATAAAAGCAAGTGTTTCTTGTGCGATATTAATATTTTTTTATTACCTATCCTTTGTTCTCTGCGAAGAGAGCGATATGGGCCATGAAGTTCGAGTTTCGTTTTATTAGAGAGAATGTGCTTTCGCAACTGCGATCGATATCATATAGACAAGGCTATGCACTGTTGAATTATTAGGGATGGGCGTACCTACATCAGCCCGGCTCAACCTGATTATATAATTTTCAATTAAATAAAAAAACGAAACCACACATGCTTCCTCCGTGTGCCGTACTTTGCTTATCGGTGAGCAGTACTGCCTTAAAATTCTCGTATACAAATTAGCATAAGAACACAAACATAATATATAAATCGACCACTAAAACGCTCGGTATGAGTGGCATAATGCTGAGCATATCGTCTAGCAAAGTTTATGCTAGCCATTTTATATTACGACACACTTATAAATTATGGTTATGCATCTATACAAATTTGCAGCTTAATTGCTATATGTACATGAATATGTATATGATTACATATACGTGTGGCTTAAAGAAAAACAGTAATTCTTTTTTTTTTTTTTTTTTTTTTTAAAAAATGGGCATTTGAGACTTTCAAAAGGCTGAGTTATGCTTGCCGATTGCTAAACGGGGTAATAAGCTTCCACAACCATCATTTTTTTTTTTTTTTTTTTTTCTTAAACAATGGGCATTTGAAATTTAACGAAAAGAACCAAGGATAAAAACTTTTTCGTAATTTTGTTATACTTAGTCTTACACAGGATGATATATAGTATAAAATATGTCTTAGGAAAATTATTTCAAACACCTTCGAACTTATATGATACATCTATCCAGGGGATCCTAATGGCCGCTTATCAGTAGAGATAAATTTACAATCTCGTGATGATGCCGCGCGGTATCATATGACTTTAGCAAGGTGGAAGACTTTGGCATACAAGTAAACGAAAAATGTGAAAGTTGCGCAGATTGATGCAACAATCGATTGCCTTCTGTTTGATTTCATTGTTATCGATAAGAGGAAAATATGTGTTCGTCTTTTAAGTATACTAGATCAACGCAAGCGCGCGCTGCGCGCGCGCCTTTTATTATAATAAATAATTCATAAAATAAACCAATATAACTGCCTAATATCATAAATATTATTATCATATTCTTCTTCATTTTTCCTTAGGTCTCTCTCTCTCTCTCTTTTAAGTATATAATTTTCAGGGAGTATATCATTCCTTATCCAATCGCATTTGTTTATTTAAATGAAATTAAAAATTTAACTTTTTTTCTCTTAGTATGATATTTAGTTTTTGATAACTTGTCGATGTGTGAAATAGTTTAAATTTAGTTTCACAATGAGAGCATAGGCTCGTATCAATTATAAAAGATACGGCTTATCGCGTAGGAATAAGTAGCTTACTTTGTAGAATAAGTAGAAACTGGTGTGTATATATAGCGATATGTTTTACATAATAGTGATAAAAGAGTGACACACATTTTTTTTCTTATCTAAAAAGTTAATTGAGAATGCATATTGCACATACAATTATTATCCAATTAATGCTAGAGATAACTATGTATTATAAAAGTAATCAAAAATCTACAACACCCAGACAGCACAAAACGTCCTCAGGATCATCCTGAATATGTCCAGGATGGTTCAGGATATTTGTAGGATGTTTTAAGATATTATTATAAATATATTTTATGAAAATTTAATATGCATACATGATTACTTTCGGTTATGTAGGCTATTTAATATAATTTAGAAATTTTAAGTATTGTAATAAGTATTAATGTCCTATAAATGTCCCCTGGATAACCCCTGGATGTCTGTAGGATATCTGCCCTGTCTATTATATTGGATGTCCTTTGGATTTCCAGAGGATATATACATGTGCAATTAATTGTTAACATTAATTTCGTTTAATATTAATAATTGAATTTGTTGCGCACATTTTCATATATTCAAAATTATTATTTATTTAATATTTCATGAGAAATGTTACTATGCGCAACATTCCAAAAACTTTACAAAAAATAGTATTCAACCGCTAGTTCGTTTGTTTACCGCTATGCGACGCGCGAACTCGTATTTGAGATTTGGTCATGAGAATTATATAAAGCTTGCAAAGAGCAACTAACAGGAAATTAAAAATATAATTATTTTTTATCAGTTCAATTTCTGATGCAATCCCAACATAGGGAATTCAGATATTGGATTGTTTTGAAAATATTACACATAAACCTAAAATATTTATGTACAGCACGAAAACCTCAAATATTAAAGAACGTGAACTATTTTTAGTATTAGATTTTTAGTATTGGCAGTAAATAATAGAACGCAATCTTAATTTATATTTAAATTTTAGAATTTGTTCTTTTTAACGTGTGAAAAATATCCCTAACATATCCTATAGAAATTCTTAAGATGTTCCACAGGATCTCCCTGGATTCTCCAGAGGCTAGTGTACGGCTATCATTTATTCTTCCTCAGGACATCCAGAGGAGATCCGAGGATTAAAATAGGATATCCTCAGGATATCCTACATGTATGTCCTGGATGCCCTTTGGACGTCCTAAGGACATCCTTGTGCTGTCTGGGCATAAACATATTATGTTTGATATTCTGTGCAATTCTACACGCATTTGTAAATTATTCCTACAAACAGAAATAGAATTTATAATATACTTATAATATTGGACAGGATATGCTAAAAGAAACTATACATGCAGAAAATTGCAGGTTGTATATGAAAATTAGAATAAAGTTTTTATAAATATGTAAAAGCTTTTCTCTCTTTGTCTCTCTTTTCTAAACAATTGAGAATGGGTAGCATTTCGCAATTTAATACGAACATTATAATTTAGTATACTTCGATTATAGTATATAGATTATTTTTATCGTTATCATTTTATTATAGTTGACGGGAGTGATGATAATATCGGTCGGCACGACAATTTATGCCGTTTACGAGAATTTTTCGCATTTCCTGGATTCAAGCTACTTTTCGCCAGCCACGCTTTTGATCGTGGTCGGAATACTCGTCTTTATAATTGCTTTTATGGGATGCTGCGGTGCGATTAGGGAAAGTACCTGCATGGTTCTTGTGGTAAGTGAAACATGTGAATCCTTCTATTTGCTTTAAATATCATTTCCTGATGTGTATACTACATTCATTCCTGTACTTGTAGTTTGCAGTCTTACTGTCGTTTGTTTTAATGCTGGAACTTGCCGCAGCTGTTGTTGCATACAGCAACCAAGATAGCATTAAAGACCTTCTAGCTGAGAAGATTAATTTAACGATGCATCAATACGGAAAGAATAAAGAAGCCACGATCGCAATCGATTTTATGCAATCTAGGGTAAGAGGATTAACTATTCTTATATTAGTTATAACTTATTATGAAATAATAACTTATTATGTGTATAAAATGATATATTATTTTTGTTTCTAAGAAATACAAAAGTAAAATTCTAAGAAGTTATATGAAAATTAAGAGACTATTGTATGTTGGATATGGCAAATTAGAATATAGTTTTTTTTCTTTTTTAAAAATATTAAGGAAAATTATTATTTATTTTATATTGCAAATTTTCAACTTTTAACATCTTTGTAATTAATCTTCAAGTTATATTATCAATTCAAATAAAGTCTGTTCGAAATTTAATAAAGACTAAGAGTTTATCATCTGTTTGCTGATCTGAAACTTAACTTCTGAAGAATTCTTCATTTCCAGTAACTTATAATTTTAGAATTATTAATCTATTGTTTTATAAAAAAAAAAATTGATTTTATATATACAAATGGGTAGAAAAATCCATAGACGAAAAGAGATACACATGTTGCATATGTATCATAAAAACTATTAAAGATATTATGATATTATCTACATAAAAGCATGTTGGGAAAAAATTGATCTTGTATAATAATTTTTCTTTATAGTTACGTTGCTGTGGATACAACAGCTATATGGATTGGAACAACGTATCGTTCAACAAAACGTATATGGATATACCTGATTCTTGCTGTGCATATATAGTGGACGAGATACCTGAATTTCCAGATCGTTGCCAGGGGAAATATCAGGAGGGCTGTATCAGTCGTCTTTCTATTATTGTTCACCGCAGTGCATTATACATCGGCACGGGAGCTGTAGCGATCGGTCTTATTCAGGTTAGTAAGATTCAATTTTTCCAACTTTATTTTAATCACATTTTTTGCATGCTAAACTATGAAATCATAGTCTATCACGTAATATATTTGCTGGATAGATAAAACATGTGCCAACATTGAGCGATATATATGTTGAAGTAGAATATTCTGGAATAATATATATATCTAAAATCTTTATATATACAAATTTCCAAAGTCCATAAATTCTTACAAATTACACATAAATCTTATTAATATTTTAACTTCGAGATTATTATACTCCAACTTGTCTATTTTACGATTAAAAGCGTAATCTTGAAAATGTAATTTATATAAATAAATAAGTTTGATAATAATTTCCGTCTATTGTTTCTTTCTAGCTAACGGGGATTATGTTCGCATGTATGCTTGGCCGAGCTATCAGACGTCAAAAGACGGAAAGGGAAAAGCGTCGCTGGGAATTACGAGAAAATCTCGTGAACGGTTATGAACCGCTGGGAAAATCAGATCCCTTAACTACGTTTCCCGTAGTGTACATGTCTCCGGATTACCCATTGAAAGGCGCTAAAAAATGTTAACATTTTAATACAAAAATTTAATAAGACATATTTTTATCCCTATTGTTCTCACAAAGAGAAATTTACAAATATAAGAACTGACCATATAATGATTCTATTTTCTATAATATAAATATATAAAAGCCTTTATATGAAAACAAATATTTATTTTTTATGCTTTCACGTTTCTTTGTATAATAGAGTTCAATGGGTTATCACCAGAAATAATATAGGAAAAAACAGTACTTAATACCAAATAATTGTGATTTATATAATTCATAGATTAATATATTTTCTTATATAATCTAGATATAGACAGTCTAATTATTATCTGTTTTAATCTGTGGCCGCGTTCGGCGGAGTAAAAACTAATCATGTTGGATTGCTACTAAGCGATTTTTTCTGTTTAACGCGGTCAACATGTATTCAATAATTAGATATTGCGAAATTTTTTAATTTGAATTCAAATTTCGTGATTTCAAATTCATTTTGAATTTATACTATAGATAATTAAGAATGTTTGTGTATGCTATAAGAGAAAAAGTATTATTTTCAAATGTAAATTACTTTTCGATTAATAATTACATAATATAACACACGCACACTTCTTTTCAAATTATACAGATTATTGTAAAATATATTGATATCTATTAAATATTAATGCATTGCATTTTTGTGTTATGAATAAAATGTCTTTGCTCTATTTAAATGGTATTTACACATTATATATTCTTCCCGTCAAACGAAAAAGAATATATTAACTAAATTTGATAAATTTATTATTTAAATCTTTCATAGTAATATCACCAGAAGAATAAAGCTTGCCTCAAAATCTTAGAAGCTTCCTCATACTGTTCCCCATTCTCAAGAAATGGTGGCGTTAATTCGCGATACGCGAGGCAAATGCGTTTCGATGCAACATCTTGTCGAAGAACGGAATGTTCCCATTGATATCTATGAAACAAAAATAATTGAATATATTAATTCAATAGGATATAGTATATTTTCGTTTCTATAAGAAAAATATACCTTGCTGGACCATATAAAATCATGAGTGATCTGGCAGGCATCGGCAATCGTACTACTATGTTATCGTCAATTTGTGTGTTATCACAAATGCCTTTTTCTAGGATGGAATTGTATCTTGAAACACAGTCTAAGTTGTATCGTGTTATTGGACCACGATAAGGAGTCATAGTTAACACAGCATCACCGAGAACATTAACAGTCACTATGCGTTCTCCCCAAATCCAGCAATCGTCAATGTGAGGATCAATAGAGGCTCCTCGTTCGGGATCATATTCAAGCGAACATTGCTCGACAGTTCTAAAACCATGTAGCAGTGGTATTTCTTCAAATTTATTTTGTACAAACTGTGTTGTTTTAGGAAAACCGTCAAATACTCCTAATTGTAACTTTCTCTTTTTAAAGTTACATTTTGGTCCAAAATTCTATAAATTGAAAAATTTCAACTTAAAATACATGAACATATATAGAGATGTATTAATTTTTATTAAGCATAAATATACCTGTTTTCTTCTACCACTCTGTGAAGTTTGCCAAGGGAGATAATCGAGTGCTTCCATCAGTTTCTTAGCCTCATCTTCATTTAAGAAATTTAACTAAACATACATACACATATTGTGAACTATATGCTAAAAAGTATGTTGTAAAATATACAGCAATCTATTGTAATCACATTACCTTGATATAAACACCAGGATAGTCAATTAAATTTCCATCATGGTGAGGATGTTTTTTATACTCATCTATATCCCATCCAGGTGATAATTTATCACAATATGGGCAATAAACATAAGATTTGCTTTTCTGTAAGATTAGAAATGTATTTTAAATTAGATAAAAAATTAAACAATAATTAAAAATATATTTCATCCCAATTTATATAATTAAAATTATAAATAAATTTCTATAAAAAAAATATATATAGTATTTTTAATCAGTTTATGTTATAATAGTTCGTATCACATCAAATATATAAAAAGATAATATTATAAAACAAAATAAGAAAGACAAAGTAAGTGCCTCATCTTTTCACATAAAAAACTACAAACTGGTTAGTCTAGTATTCTATCCAGTTAGAAGCAGGCTATCTAGTTAGAAGCAGATTCAACAGATAGAACACAGTATAATATTATATCAAATACATAAAAGGATAATATTGAGACAAAATAAAGAAGAAGTGGCTCATCTTTTTGCACAAAAAACTGCAAACTGGTCATTCTCCCTGTCCAGTTAGAAGTACGTACATAGATTCAACAATCAGAACAGTGCATAACAGACAGTAGATAGAAAAGGCAGAAACTTCAGGTAAAATATTCAGATATAAATCTCTAAATCTCAATTTACATTTTTCAAGGAAGACTAATTATACTTGTAAATATACAATATAATAAAAGAACAATCCTATAAATAACAAAATATAAAATATCAGATTCAAAGATGGTTCAAAGATTAGGATGCAGAAAATTGCGTTGATCGGATTTATTATGAATCTGAGTAATAAAAACCCAATTAGAAAACATATATATTCATAAAACAATAATATAGAAAATTTTTGTAATTGACGTAAATTTTATCATACTCATTTACGAGAATGGGAAACCCGCGGCAAATTCTGAGAAACTCCATCACGCAACACAACTATCTTGATTTAGGTTAAGAAATTACCTGTAATATTTCCTTCAGATCCGGCTTCGATATCTTATATTTAGCCTCGCAAATTAAGCAAGAGCGTATCCCTTTGCAGCCACACGGTCGAACAGTTTCCATAATGTTCCCTTTTTTTATATCGAGCACGAAAATACTGAAAAAACTGTCGGTAAACCACAATAAACACAGCCGGTAGATTTACATTTACAAAGTCGATTGTCAAAAGTCGATATAGCGAGATATCGCTTTCGCATTATGTTGATCCGTATCGGTTCGAAAGAATTTTATTTCTTTCATTAGATGAATTTAAGAAATCATATTCCTAATATTTTTCGATGAAATATTCATAATAGAGATGGATAACGTGATCGTTAATAAACACAATGATTTAATCATCGATAAAATAAATTATAAATTGATATTTCTCAGCTGTTCTCCCCCCCCCCCCTGTCTCTCTCTTTGCTATCGCGGAAAATTATATGCAAAAAAGCAGAAAAATAAAGATTATATTCAACGAATCTCTCTCTCGTTATCGTCTCGTGGATTGCCCCGGCCCCGGGGCAATGCTGACTATATATTTTGATCTTTTGATGTTCTTCTTACAGTTGTACGCACGCCTTTGTTTCACGCTGCAAAAATGCTGTCGAAGATTTGCTTCGTACTTTTTTTGGTACTTCCTGCCAGTTTCGCTGGTAAGAGTATTTTAACATTTAAATTCTCAGTTGATCTTTATAAATCGTTACCGTTTTACGAAAATCTTTTAAAATATATATACGTAAAATACATATTTAGATATATATTTTTTAATTATTAAGTAGTCAAATAAAAGAGTGAAAAATAAAATTTTCTGAAAAATCGAGTTTTCGATTTAAGTATCTTTTTCCCTATTGCGAAAACATTTATTTATTCTCGGGATCAATTATAAAATCTTTAATTGAATATTTTTGCAGAGGTCAAGTGTCCCAACATCATCAGCAGAAATGAGTGGACCTCCGTTCCCGCTGGAGACGTGAACTATTTAATAATCCCTATACTTTACGTAATAATACAGCACACAGCCACTCTCGAGTGTAATTCGCGCCAGACCTGTGCAACCAGTGTCGACAACATCCGCAGTTATCATATGGACCAACTTGGCTGGGATGATATCGGTTATTCGTAAGTCATAATAATAATTATTATCTCAGCACGAGTACGCACCGCTTCCATAACATGACACCATTTGCTTTGTAAATATTTAATAATATTAAGATGTGTGCAAAATATATTATAATCAACGTGATTGCCTTTTCTCTAAAGATTCTTAATCGGTGGCGATGGAAACGTATACGAGGGAGTCGGGTGGACACACGAAGGGGCGCATACATACGGATATAATAAAAAGTCTGTCGGTATTAGTTTCATTGGAAATTTCGACAGTAAGTATCGCGAAAAAAATATATATTTTTTCATATCGTATGTTTAATATATTTATGCTTTATTTTTTATGTATCAGAGATTGTTATATTTTTGGCCATCTCTTTTTTTCAGAAAAACAGGCCAGTCAGAAAATGTTAAATGCCGCGCATCAATTAATTGAATGTGGCAAATCCCAAGGTATTCTTCGAAGTAACGTACGTGTGCTTGGTGCGCGACAAGTACAGCAAACAGTGAGTCCTGGGTATCAACTCTACACGCAGATTCAAGAGTGGCCTGAATGGGTTAGCAATCCTTAGATAAGCGACTGACGACAAGTGCGATGCTAAAGGTTATCGCTTTTATAAGATCCAATTTAAATAACTATCGTATATTACGGAGAAAATATTTGCTCCTATAATTTTTAAACTGACATAAAATGTAAACATAGAATAGAATATTTCTTCTTCTATATATAAGTATAAGAAATCTTGAACCTTTTTTAATAAGGTTTTTGGAGAAAGTTTTTTTTTATCACAATGCTTATTGCTGTTTATTTTAATCCGCATCTTTTAATTCGAAATCTTAATCTCGTTCGATAAAGTTATATAGAACAGGCCACAGAGCCGTTCTTCAAATAACATCACTATTCTGCGATATATTTTCGCAAATCGTTAATCGGCAAGATTTAAAAAAAATATAACTAATATAAGACCGTAAGAGAAATATACGTCAATATTCGAGGTAATAGTTTGTGTTTTATTATATTACCTTTCTAGCGAGAAGTCCAGCTCCTGATCTAATATAAAAAGAAAGTTCTTAACATACGTTTTTTAACGCATTAACATTTCAGAAGAACGCATGTAGACGACATGTAGAAATAAATCGTGGATAAATTGTGATGAATTTAGGAGATGGAACGGTATGACATCGTAACGTATATCCAATTCTATTCAAGTTTCTTTTCTTTTTTTCGATTATTAGGAGATCACGTAATTACTAATATACAAATGATACATTATCACCGAGAGTTTCTCTTACACAGAATAAATATATTGCGCATTAGCGGGTTTTTCAAGAATGACGCAATCGAGCCGAGCTTAAGTTTTTTTTTCTTTTAATCATAGTTATTATTATCGTTAATATCCATATAATTATCAATAACTACAGTAAAACACAAAACAAAAAAAAAAAAAAGAAAAAAAGAATATAGTGATATCTGTACATTCTTCTTCCTTAAATGATTAACGTAAACATTCTTTTGTATTCCTGTAGCCTTACAATTAGGAAGAAACTAAATCATAATATTCACAGATATTTTACAAGATAGGTGAGGCCCGCCGACGGGCGCACGTGTCGCGTAATAACGGTACAGAAAGTACACGATCCTGCACCTATGCTATATGACTGGCTGCAGAAGAAAGAGGAGGGAAAACGCAACGTTTCCATAAAAATAAATGAGTTGCGTGAAATAAACGACACGTGCGCACGTTCGCGCCTTATATACTTATATGCATAGCTATAATATATTTATATATATATATAACGCTCCTTTTTTTTTTTATCACCTTGCTTTCTCTCTCTCTCTCTCTCTCTCTTTCGCTCAGTTATACCTCTACACTGTACATATCCACAACGCATCTTTTACACTGTACATGCACACGCTCCGTGAGTATCCGCGCTGCCTTAAAGTAATTGCATTGTCGCAGGGATGGACAGAACAATAAAATATCACTTAAACAATGCCTTCTATTCGCTTAGAAATAAAAATAACAAATTTATCGAATCGTCGAGTGCTCTCCTAAAATAATAGCAAAACAGATTAAGGAAATATAAAAAGTATTGAAAAAGTTACCATTAGTATATATGGGAATATATGAATATAAAATAAACAATACACTCAGATATACACTTTCACATATCTTGACATTCTGCAAATATCGAAAAAAGATCTAACTTTTCGCACTTACAACAGATAATTGAAACAAATGAATGCATATGTTTTGTCTATCCCTGATTCTTGCATAAAGATTACTCTCTAGAGGCATGCGCCCTACGCGCAGCAGCATAATATCGTAAATAGATATAAGTTTCTTAATTTATTTAAATGTTTTTTGACGGCTTGGTGTGTGATATAGTGTAACCTCTGGTCTATACACGTAAGCGCATTTATTCGGACACGAATGCTAAAGAGTCTATGAGTCGTCGCGTGACGGAATCGATAGGGATGGGATATAAAGATAGATATATTTACTGTGGTTGAAAGAGCAAGGAATGAAAAACGAATGCAAATCGAGTATTAATGAATGTCAACATTCTATTCGCATTCGTTGTTGTTCTTTCTTCATTCATTTATTCAAATATATCCATTTTTATAGGATGGAAGTGCGTAGAATGGGGCGGCGTCAATGGTCAATGAGATCGGTCATACATTTTCTCAGTATGACAAATAAGCCCCATTTTGTCCTTAAATGTGTGCGAATTGGTATGCCCTAGCTAGCCTGTTGTAATAACGTTAATAATAATTAATAGCAGCGGTAATAGAGTAGTGGTAGAGTAGTAATAGTAGTAATAGTAAGTAGTAGTAGTGGTAATAGTATAGTAGTAATAATAGTAATAGCAGTGGTAATAGTAATCGCAATAATATGTAATCATAATTATAAGAATAATAATTAATAATATTAATAATAATCGTAATAAGAATGGGCGATTATCAGTGTTACCAAGGTCATTTATTTATTAAAATAAATTAGACGAATTATAATAAAATTCTTACAATGAGGGAGGGAACCGTCTAATTTATTTAATTCGTCAATGTACCGAAAAATCTTGTACAATCGTAATTCTGACACTGGCAACACTGGTCATTAACATTAATAGTAATAATAATAATCATAATAAAGAGAATATAAGTAGTAACGTTAAAAATTCTTTATAAGATATATGTATATATATATATAATGCTAAGAGAGTATGCTATGTATGAGAGGAATTTTAGTAATTCACGAGAGATTAATAATAATAATAATAATAATTCACGAATTCGCATCCTGCTGTGGGAAATAATGATACATTAGGATAGATCTATAGATCGCACAAATTCTACGCGGGTAGCCCAACTTTTTTCATTCTCTGTGTGCTAGAGGACTAACGTTATAATTTACATTCTAAACTCGACACGACCGGCGGCGACAGCAGCAACGGGCAGCAGCAAATTATCATTATAGTTATAGTATAATATAATACATAGTCATTTTTATATATAGAGCAGTATTTATACAAAAACACATCACATACCGCACGGATCATTAGTTGGGCACCCTCTTATATATTTTTACCTTTTGTCTTCTTCCTCTTTACGCAGTTACAGTTATCGTTAAATACTTAAAATCACAGTAGTTATGCCCTCGGTGGCTCGCTTATAATTTTTTACACAATTTATTTTATTATTATTAACGCCTAAATCTTACTTGAAATAGCTCGTAATAGCTCATGTAATAGTGATAGGGTACGTTAGCTGCTTCTATATCTTTACTTCGCGGTTGAGTTGTCCATCTAGAGAAACGAATTCTTACTGTTTCCTCTATGGGAGGAACGAACGTAAGTAATGAGTATCGCATGACGAATCGAAGGTCTTGTCTGAAGGCTGGGGTTGTGCCTGATTCGCTTGTCAGAAAGACCAAGAGTGATGTCGGTCGATCCCACAAACATTGTCAGTATTATAATTGACGCGAGTTACAAGCCGTGCAAAGAAAAAGAAGAAAAAGAAGAAGAAGAAAAAGAAAAGCAAGAAAGAACCGAGCTTGCCTGCGCAAATTTCATCGAAGAGAGATACGCACGGTGATGACCAGTGCATTTAAAGGTGCTAACCTCACTTCACCGCACAACCTCATGCCTCGTCTTTAGGCCTACGATATAAAGATCAGCTTACCCCGCCGGGTTCCATTTGATTGTCACTGATACAACTCCGAATAAGGAGCTCTTCATTTTGAATGCGCATCCCGCTTTTTGTCGCACAAGTACGCGCGTATCAAGCGGACACTCCAGGCTTCATGCCAGGTATGAAGCGTCCTGCGGTGCGTGAAGACGAGACATACGGATAAATCGTAATCCGGTAAGTCAATGATCGGTTTCAAACCGTGGCAATGACGATTAGTAAATGAGAGATTTTTGCGACACGTTGATGTAGGTCCGGTGCAATTCTTGCCAAATTTTCGTGCGCGAATTCACAAGATGGGAAAATGTGAACTACATACGCCGGCTAAAATGCAAAAAATGTTGTAGCATTACATTTTAATCGCGTTTCGTCAGAAAAGGTAATAAGGAAAATAAAAAGAGGATTAAGAATAAGAAAAATATATTATAATAACGCTTTCATGTGAGATAGAGGGCTTGAATCTCATATAATAATGAAGAATCTCATATAATAAAAAAAACTTTGACTCACCTGTTGCGATCCGGGTGCGGCAATGTTTACGATACCAGCAGCTTGCTTCTGTTGGAGATACATGATAAATCCTGTTTGAAGATTTTTACTTTGTTGCAGTACATCTACTTCATCACGTCCACAAGGTAATGCCAACAACATGCAATGTTCGTTATCAGTCTGGAAAACATTTTAATTGACATATTAAAAAATAATTCAACTCATGTAATTTTAAATTCATCAAATATCGGTATGAACGGTATTTAACTGCCAAGGATTACGATACGTACCTGCATCTTTCTCGCTACCCCATCAACTTGAGTTTGTTCTAATCTCATTCTTTGGGCTATTCTCAATGGTGGTGTAGAGCCGTCGCTGTTACACGGCAGACTGTCTCTGGCTACGTTAGGATTGCCGAAAACAAAGTGCATTTGTACCGCTGCTTGATCGTTCTTGAGTGCTAGTAAACCTTGCCACATAACCGGGTAACGTTGGAGTAGCATCTGAAACGTATCCGCTTGCGGTGGTACCTGAGATGCATACGGCGGTGGCGTGACAACATGGTGCTTCCTACATCTCTCTGGCGTGGCGGCCCTACCCATCTCAGGTGGCGCTTCGCTGGCAGCCATGGGATATTGAGAACGTAAATGGGCGGGCGGTGGTTCGTAATAACCTGCTCTAGCGCCAGCCGGTGTACCGGGTAATGACGGATTACTTCCTGCGTTATACTGCGGTGGAGGTGGCGGTAATCTTACATTTCCGTGTAGCATATAAACTTGAGCAACTTGTGGACTGTCGGTAGTACGATCTTGAGGCGTTCTCGTTCCTCGTCTTAATTCTAAAGGAGGACTGTGACTGTCCTCTATGCCGGTCTCGAGTTTCGGATCTAAAGGTAAGTGCGGAGATCTTGTTCCTGGAATGTGATAAGCTATGCGTGGTGCCGTTAACGCTTCTTGTTGCGCACGAAGATGGTATTGGTATTGCAACATCTGAGAATGTAAATAATGAGGTGGCAGTTCTCCGCCACGAGTCAGTCCTCCGTAATGATTGACGACTTCATTCTGTAAAACAAGATTATCTTTATTATTATTTATATCAGAAACAATATTGCCTATATATATTAACTTGCAACAAACCGTAGTAAAAATTCTTCAAATTTCATGCAATGTCAAGAAATTTATGATTAATGTCTAAATATTGAACTTTTTTCTTTTATATGAGGCATACACACAATTCTATTAAAAATATATTATAAAAGAATATTAGAGAGAGAGAGAGAGATAGATAGAGAGAGAGAGAGAGAGAGAGAGAGAGAAAGTAAA